CCCCAAAACCCCAAAACCCCAAAACCCCAATGAGCCAAATAATTACATAGATTGCAAATTAGAGAAAATAAATAAATAAAATGGAACAAAAGCGTAGATATTTCTTGGGAGCAAACTGGAAATGCAATGGCACAACTCCATTTGTGAGAGACATCATTAACAACTTAATAAATTCATTCCAATTTGATTAATCTAAACTAGGTAGCCACTTTATTATTCACTTAATCATTGAATAGATGTCATGGTTTTGCCAGGAATGCTTCATATTTCATTAGTCTAGGCAATGGTAAAGAATGGAATCTTAGTAGGAGCATAGAATGTAAGTTAGTTCGAATCGGGAGCTTATACTGGAGAGATTGCTGCTGAGTAGATTAAAGATTATGGTATTGAGTGGGTTATGATAGGCCATTCAGAGAGAAGATATAAATTTGGAGATACATTGGAGATAATTTCCAAAAAAGTGAAACTAGCTATCGAAAATCAACTAGGTGTTGTTCTGTGTGTTGGAGAGAATCTTGAATAAAGAGAGAAGGAGTTGACAAATTAGGTACTAGATGAACAGCTTAGATCTTGCTTAGCATCTTTTGATGGTCAATGGGAGAATGTAGTTATAGCATATGAACCAATTTGGGCTATAGGCACTGGCAAAATAGCCTCAGCTGATTAAACATAAGAAGCCCATGAATATATTAGGCAATGGGTGAGGGATAATGTAGGAGCACATATTGCAAAAGACATTAGAATTATCTATGGGGGCTCAGTTACAGAGACAAACTGCGAAAATCTTATTAGACTATCTCATGTTGATGGGTTTCTCGTGGGTAGTTCCTCAATTAAGCCAGGTTTCAGAGATATTTTTGACACAGTATATTCCTATGCCCTAAAATGAGAATATTATTTATCTACCTAGAGAGGTATTTAAAGGGTTAGTTGTCATCTATTTATTGTTTAGAGATTCACTTATTATTTAACTAATTTGTTTTCCAATGATAATTTTATAGAATGCACGGGGTTTTGGGGTTTTGGGGTTTTGGGGTTTTGGGGCATAGG